ACAAGCCCTCAGTTCCCTTTTCTGTCTCCTTCCTGCCAAACCAGCCCAGCCCTGGGGAAGAGCAAGGGGCTCCAGAACTTGTGACCATTCCCAAACCTTAAGGTATCCCACCCAGCTACGGGAGCTTTAGTGAGATGTCAGCTCATAAGTCCAGATCCTCAGGCTCTGAACCAATTGACGTCAAAGCTGGGAGCCTACATACTTTGGAGGCTTTAGGGCATTGGGCCTCCTGGGAGAACCGACTGGCTGCATGGCTGGGCAGGGGCAGCGCTGTGTGTGCAGAGATTTCTGCACGGGTTGCATTCCTCCCTTGGGAGAACAGGAATCAGAGTCTCACCTGAGTATATTTGTACAGTAGGAAGAGGAGCAGCAGGAAAAGCAGGACCAGCGTTGCCAAGAAGATGGAGAGGACGGGGTTGAAGAGCTTGTGTGGGATCCGGACTTCTAGAGAAGCAAAGGGAAGAGGGGTGAGAACTGGCTGTTCAGATGTTTATTTCACGAGAGCAGTGGTTCTCAGACTTTTATTTTCATGGGTCACTGGAAAACTGCTGCGGGTCTCGGCGGCCCACTTAACGCTCTTTCCGTGTGTTGTTTGTACCGTTAGTGAACTGTGGTAATGTGCTTTGGATGAAAGCGCTATGTAGAAAAACCTGGATGAAAATGAACGCTTGTTTGTTCTGCAAATGAAAGCACGCAAGTCCAATTTTAATATCCTTCGGGGTCGCTCCCCCACCAAGGGCTGAGGTTGGGAAGGAGGGAGGTCTGTCTCCTACCGCAGCAGCCATACACCTGAGGCTGGGATAGGAAGGGGGCCGTCTTTCCTCAGCACCTGCAGCCCTGAAGCTGCGGAAGTTGCCTCTTTCTCTGGCCACTGCAGCCCTGCACGCCCCAAATTCCTCCACTCTTCTTAACCCACTGCCCCCTCCCACCTACTCCCTCCCCAACTCCACCACCTCATCTTATATATGAGGGTCCAGGCACCTGATTGGTGGAGCCACTAGTTAGATGGGCAGCCGTTCATTCTCTCTTCACACCTTTGAGGGAACTGTCTGCAGCCCACCTGAATGGAGCTCACAGACCACTGGTGATCCTTGCACCACCGTTTGAGAACCGCTGCACTACAGCACCATCCATGAGCATTCTACCCAACCCCCTATTTGCTCGAGAGTCTCCTTGCACATAACTAGACAGGGATGGACCCAGAGCAGATGTGCTGCCCTCAAAGGAGTCGGGGAGGGAATTTTTCAAGATAAGAAAAGATTGTGCTACAAAGTAAATACCAGAACAGGGACAACTGACAAAAACCACCTTGCCTTTAATAATACATGGATAGCTCTTGAGACCCACAGCAGGGCCAGAATAAGGATTTGCCCCAGAATGATAAATAATGAAAGGAGCCCATTAGACCATCAGCCTAGGGCCAGCACTAGCCTTTTTCATCCAGAATGTTTTCTAGTGCTTCTAGTTACGTATATTCTATCTTGTCCTGCATCTGGAGTATCAGGAGATGCACGCCCCTTGGCTATGTCTACACTGCAGGCTTCTTGTGCAAGAACGGGTGTTCTTGCGCAAAAACTTGCGGTGCGTCCACAGTACAAGCCCGTTCTTGTGCAAGAAAGTTTATGTAGATTGTCAGAAGAGAGAGCTTTTTGCACAAGAGTTATTCCTCTTCCCATGAGGAATAAGCCTTTTTGCACAAGAGCTCTTGCGCAAAAAGGCTAGTGTGGATGGGAACAGGGGCTTCTTGCACAAGAAAGCCCTATGGCTAAAATGGCCATCAGAGCTTTCTTGTGCAAGAGAGCGTCCGCACTGTCATGAACGCTCTTGTGCAAAAGCACACAGCAGCGTGGACCCGCTCTTGCGCAAGAACTCTTGCACAAAAAGTTCTTGCTCAAGAAACCTGCAGTGTAGACGTAGCCCTTGTGTTACAGTAAGCACTAGCGGAGGAATGGGACTGTTATGAAGTCCTAGTAGAACCAACTGTCCTTATCAACCTACAAGATATAACCAGTCTTATCATCTAACATCTTGAGTTAGGTCTTCGTTGAGATTTCTTGTGCAAGAACATATGCAAATGAGGTGCAGCGATGAATATCGCCATGCCTCATTTGCATAATTAATGAGCCACCATTTTGCGCAAGGGGCTTTTGCGCAAAAAGGAGCCGTCTACACAGCTCCTTCTTGTGCAAAAGCCCTTTGCACAAGAGCTGTTCTGCCACTTATTTTCAGGCAGAACGGATCTTGCGCAAGAGGGGGTTTTGCGCAAGAAGGATCAGTGTAGACAGCTACTCCTTGTGCAAAAGCTCCTTGCCCAAAAATGGCAGCTCATTTGCATATGTTCTTGTGCAAGAAAGCACAATGTAGAGGTAACCCGGGGGCTAACATGCTTCATATGCACTAAGGCCATGATGGGCAACAGGTGGTGTGTGGGCTGCATGTGGCCCATCGGGGTTCTTGTGCAGAAGAGGTTTTGCCACTATTTGGCCCTATATAGACGGGGCCAAATGTCACAAAAAAACCCTCTTTTGCAAGACTCCTTATTCCTCATAAATCAAGGTTTACAGGGTCTTGCAAAAGGGTTTTTTTTTTGCAACATTTGGCCCCATCTACACAGGGCCAAAGAGCGGCAAAACCTCTTCTGCAAAAAGAATCAGAAGAAGATATGCAAATGCAAGCGCGATTTGCATATCTTCTCCTGTAAAAAAATGACAAGTGTCGCTGTAGCTTTAGTGGGCCGTTTGGAGTGTAGGTTCAGGAAGACTGGATCCCCAAAGGCCTGTAGCCATCTCTAATTCAGGCCTGAATTAAATGTATACATTATCCATAAATAATAAATGCTCTGATTGATCTCACCTGAAGGAAGGACTAAGTAGTGTGTCTGTGAGTCATTTCCCTCACTGTTAATGGCCCAGCAGCAAAAGGTAACGTTGTCCTCCAGCTCCTTAGTTTGAAGGATGCTCTCTACTTCCACCTTTCCAAAGGGCTCTTTGCCTAGGATCCGGGGGCTGGTCTCATTCAGAATCAGTGTTTTCCCCTGGTCACATCTGCAGAAACACCAAGCCAGGATGAGAAAACATTTCCATGGAACACACCAGCCTACAAACGCTCTATCCTCACAGAGGGCTAGGGGGACCCAAACGGCTAGACAAGAGGTCTAGTGATCTATTGCTACTTGTTGCCTCTCCAGCTTCAGAAAGAATAGACTTCCCGAAGGAAGTAAGTCGATGGTGACAGCCCCCCACCCCCATCAGCTAAGCAGTGTGTCTGCACACGAATGGGTCCACTGAACCTGCCTCCTGCTCACTGCATGTGCTACGTCCGCTTGATTGTGCCCATCATCCCCTTCCCTAGCAGCTTCAGTACTGGGAACCAGCACCTCCTTTACATCCCTTCCCAAAAGAGGCACCTGGGCTGACTGGGGGGGGCAGTTGCACTTTAAGCAGGTCTCCCTCATCCGCAAGCATGTTTCAGTGTCCATTCTAGACCCTGCTGTGAGGACTCGGTGCACGTCGCCTTCTGGGGTTGGGAAGCCTCCCCCAGGGCACCCGCTGAAAGCTACAAACATCTGTTTTAAAAGGCAGAAGAATTCTTTGTTGTAATTTTGGGCAGAACTCAGCGCTAGCCTGTGTCTTTCGCAAGTCTGGGGTGAGCAGTTCAGCAAACACAGATGACAGCTACGGGGAATCTCCGAGCCCTGCAGCAGAGGCGGCGAAAAAAGCTGCAAGCCCTGGCATTGAGAGAGGGGTGAGCACTGCACAGTGGAAGGTGCTCCAGCCCTCTCCGATGTTTCTCACCTGTCTGCGCGACCTGGGCATCGATACCACTCAATACGTGGAGCAGGATAACCAGTGGCTATACAGCGAAGGCTCTTGGAGTCGTTCAATGCGTTCGTGACAGAAAGGACATTAGGAGGGACTGAATAGGGAATGCAAAGGCATGTTAGGTACGAAGTCCTCTCTACATTTCAATCCCACTTATGTATGTGCAATGTCACAATGACAGGAAAAGCCCATATGTGTTTGAGAGGAGGGAAGAAAAGCTCCCTTTGCTCTCTTAGGGTACATCTCCACTGCATGTTTATTTCAAAATAAGCTGTTCTGCAGTAGAAGCTTCAGGGGGTAGCTGAGTTAGTCTGTACAGAAAAAAAACAACAAATGGTCTGGTAGCACTTTATAGACGAACAAAACATGTAGATGGTATCATGAGCTTTTGTGGGCACAGCCCCATGATACCATCTACATGTTTTGTTCGTCTATAAAGTGCTTCCAGACCATTTGTTGTTGTTTTTTAAATTCTGGAATAGTTATTTCGAAATAGCACGTCTACACTGCAGGAAACCCTCAAAATGAGTCCGAGGCAGACTTCCCTAATGTGGATGTGCTATCTCGATTTAGAGCCGCGGGAGGCACTGGGGAGGAATAACTTAGAATTGCCCTGGGGAGGGGCTATTTCGAAATAGCAGCGGAGTGTCTACACACGCCTTGTTTCGAAATAGCTATTTTGGAATAGGTGTGATTCTTTGTAGAATGAAGCTTACAGATTTCAGAATAAGCCGCCCGCTGTTTCAAACTCATTTTGAAATAACGGAATGGCTGTGTAGATGCTCGCATTGTTATCTCGAAATAACGGTGCAGTGTAGATGCACCCTTAGTCTGGGCTTTGGGATCCAGGTTCCACTCTGGCTCTTCCTTGTGCTATATTTTAGTAACCTGTCTATCCAGAGAATAAAGTCAATGAGGAGATCTCTGTTACTGAGCCATCTTCTGCTGGGGAGAGAGACAAGATTTCCAGCCCCACACAACTCTTCCTCAGGTGTAAGCTTTGGAAGCTTGACTCTCCCCAGCAGAAGTTGGCTCAATAAAAGATCATTACTTCACCCACCTTTGTCTTTCTAACAGCCTGGAACTCACACGTCTGCAACAGCTCTGTATAGCCAGAGACTGGATACTTGGGCAAGATGTTACACGCCATCCTATGCAGGACGTCTCACTCCTGACCACCTCTAGAGGTCACCCGGAGGAGAGAGAATTCAGTCTCCATGGTGTGAGGCTGAGACTCTCATAGGTCATCCCCAGGGAACTCTCATGTGGTAACAACTTGCAGGCATTCCCAACCTGGACCCAGTGACCTAACAATGAAGTCTCGTAGCTCCTTATCAGTCCCCATAGCCAGTTACATAGGGCAGTGTTTCTACAAGCACTGTCAGATGGCCGGTCATCCAGCAAGGACAGGTCTTTACAAATCCTTCCTTGTCATTTCCCAGAGCATTCCCTCCTTGTCAGAAGTGCACACCCTTTTCTGCCCCAGCCCTCTACTGATATGGATAGTATGCTGCGTTACAGAAGTGAGGGGATGCAAAATCCACGTAGCTCCTGATCCTTATTTCAATATGATCCACCAGGACTAGCGATGTTAAATTTCGATTAATCAGCTAATCGAGTAGTTGATGGAATTTCCAATGACTACTCAATTAGTCGATAAGGGAGGCGCTCGCTATCCCACTGTGCCTCTCCCTTTGAAATGTACAAGAGCCACTCACGGATCTTGTATATTTCCCGTTGTGTCTCTCTCTCTCTCGCTCTCTCTGAAATGTACAGGAGCCATCCCTGGCTTTTGCATATTTCAAAAGGAGAGAGGCAGTCGGTTTCCGAGCCGTGGTAACTCCTGTACATTTCAAAGGGAGAAAGGCAGCAGGATCGCATGCCAGCACTAGCGGGAAGCAAAGCTGTCCCTGCTGGTATGGTTCCCGATGTGCCTCTTCCTTTGAAATGTACGAGAGCCACAAGTAACTCTTGTACATTTGAATGGGAGAGGAGCAGCAGTGGGACCAGCGTGAGCAGGACTGTCAATCCCTGCTCGTGCTGTTTCCCTTCTGCCCTCTGCCTCCCTTTCCCCCCATGGAGACAGTGCTGGGGGGAACCAGCTTTTAAGCTGGTTTCCCCCAGCACTGGCTCGTGCTCCCCACTCTTGCTGCCTCTCTCTAAGATTTGATTATCGGGTAGTCGACTAGTTCGTTACATCCCTAACCAGGACTCCCCAAAAGAAAAGTGAAAAGGAAGCCCTACTAGTAGTAAAAAAGAAGGCTACATTACAGAAAAAAAAACCCACAGTGTTTATCCTGAAATTCCAGGAGGGCTATACATGGTAGATAGTGAAATTATGGTACTGAAGTGAACAAACAGGGAATAAATGAACACTAAAATCTGCAAGTGGCACGAGGCTGAAATTCTCTGCCCTGCATTATCACTGGATACATTCACCTCTGCTAATCTGGAATTTGTAACAAAGCTGTTGTTTGACTACAGTAATGGATGTAGTAAGAGCTCTGCAGTGAGTCCTGGTAGTTAATGTAAATATCTAATGATATATTTGTGGTAGCTTACAACCCACTTAATGCCGGGTAGTAGAAAGCTTAATACCTTCCCTATCTGCTGACGCCACCATGGGACAGTCACTGTACCTTGGAATGTGTGTAGAACACTGGGACAAATGGCCCATAATCCACCCTTGTAAAGGGCTTGGAGAGGCAGGGTTAAAAACCACCGTGATGACTATGAAGGAGCCACTCTGACCATTGTTACCATTACTTTCTTCAGTGACCACCCCACAGCATCAGGGAGGCAGCTTTGATGTTCTCAGTGGCTGCTTTGATTGTTACTGCATTGGTTGCTTTCTGGGAACTAATTCTGTAAGCTTGTTTGCTGGCAGGAAGTGCAAGAACCAACTCCTCTCATCCCCTTGCTACCTACTAGTCTGTTAGCCATGGTGTGGTTTCCATCTGCTGCTTCACAGATTTGGCAGTGTGACAGGACCAGCCCAGAGCTGGACACTTACATTTCAGGGAGATGCTGAAGGTGACGGATGCGTGGGCCGCCTCATTTGCTGCAGAGAATGTATAGAGTCCGCTTTCTTCCTCTTTCAGCCGGTTCAAGGAGAGCGTGTTGTTGTACCTGTCCCAAGAGAGAATGAACGTAACTGATGGAAGTGGCGTGTTACAAAACCGGTCAGGTTTCTTATCCCTGGGGGCACTTGGAAAGCTGCCCAGCAGTGGTGCAACTCCTGCATGCACGTTTGCAGCAGCCTGGGCGTTCCTAGCAAGAATCCACACATGGCTGTATGGGGAGTGTTTCAATGGCAGTTAACTGCTTCACCCGCAAGGCAAGTCAATGAAAATCTACCCCTTTGGTCATGAGACCTGTTCTGCCATGAGTGGGGATGTCAGTCAGGACAGCAGTGTTACGCTCTGCTTTGTTTGGGCTTTAATTTTCAGCCCGCAGCCCGCCCGGCTCTAGATACAGGCAAGAGGGATCTCAGCATTATATTTACAGGAGATTCTGTCCCTGCTTCAATCCATGAGTTTGGATTAGAAACACCTGTCCCTGTGCGGTGCCAGCCTGAGGATGCTAAGAGCATTTTCCCCTCTCCGGCTCATCTTAGGTCTGAGTACACGCAGCTTCCGCTGTCTTCAAATGCATCCGGTGATGTAAACAGGGACACAAAGGCACCAGGAATTGATAAACTGCTGCCAGCCCAGAGAGGCTGAAATCCAGTGGCCAAAGCAAAGGGTTGAAAATTCGGATTCCTTGGAGCTGCTCCTAGCTGTGCCACTGACGTTCCCTGTGACCCTGAGCAAATCACTTAGCCTCTTGGTAGGAGGGTCCCTATCTGTGAAATGGGTATTACAACATGACCACTTCTCATTTCAAGTGCAAGACACTTTTATAGTAGCACCTTCATCCAATGACTTTAAATGCCTTGATTGAGTCCAGAGAGATGATCATTGATATAAACCCCATGCACATGGGCAGAAGTTGGAGACAGTTCTTTCTCCATGCTCCTCAATAATGACAACTTTTTATCCCTCCTCCCCCGGGCTGGAGCAGGAGATGAAGTGAGCAGCTGCCTCCATGTGATGTGCCCCTATTCATAAAATCATAGAACACTAGAACTGGAAGGGACCCCGAGAGGTCATCAAGTCCAGATCCCTTTCTGCCGTACTCCTTCCTAGACAGTCGCTTCCATTCTGTGTGTGTGAAACAGATTGTTCCTTCCTAAGTGGAGCACTTTGCATTTGTCCTTATTAAACTTCATCCTATTTACCTCAGCCCATTTCTCCAGTTTGTCCAGATCATTTTGAATTATGACCCTGTCCTCCAAAGCACTTGCAACTCCTCCCAGCTTGGTATCATCAACAAACTTAATAAACGTATTCTCTATGCCATCATCTAATTTGGGGGAGGGGAATCTTTTTTGAGTTGGGTGCTACTGACATGTCCCGAGTGAGGAGGAGAGGAGAAAGACACCATATCAAAGTCTTGGGGGGGCTCCAGGCTAGTGGATTTTGTGTACTCCAGCCCTGTGGTGGAGCAGCAGCATGGGCTCCCTAATGCTGGGAGCGGGGGAGTGGGGCTGAACTTTGAGGGTCAGATCCAGGCAAGCTAGAGGCCGCGTCCAGCTCTTGGGCCTGAGGTTCCCCACCCCAACCTAAATCATTGATGAAGATACTGAACAGAACCTGTCCCCAAACTGACCCCTGTGGAGCCCCACTTGTTATGCCCTTCCAATGTGACTGTGATCCATTGATAACTAGTCTCTGAGAACGGTTATCCAGACAGTTGTGAACCCACCTTATAGTAGCCCCATCTAGTTTGTATTTCCTTAGTTTATTGATAAGAAGGTCATGCGAGACTGTATCAAATGCTTTACTAAGGTTGAGGTATACCACATCTACCACTTCCCCCTTATCCATAAGACTTGTTACCCTCTCAAAGAAAGCCATCAGATTGTTTTGACATGATTTGTTCTTTACAAATCCATGCTGGCTGTTCCCTATCACCTCATTATCTTCCAGATGTTTGCAGATGAATTATTTGCTCCATTATCTTTCCTGGCACAGAAGTTAAGCTGATGGGTCTGTCGTTTCCTGGGTTGTTCTTATTTCCCTTTTTATAGATGGGCACTAGATTTGCCCTTTTCCAGTCTTCTGGAATCTCTCCTGACTTCCATGACTCATAGTGCTGACCTGACCAAGTGATAAACCCGTGTATTGGAAGAGCACACACTCCAGAGAGGTTACAGTATGCTCTCTCCTGAAGGGGAGAGAACTCAGACACTGAGGAGAGTCGAAGCCTCCGGTTTCTCACTGGGAATGGCCAGCCACACCAATTTTGAAAAGATAGATTTCTGACTCGTTACTTAACTTGCCCTGCCATCTATCCCATCCCATCAGTGTTCCTGAACCCCCAGCACTGCCCTCGGAACCTGACTCTGAGCCACGGAGGGCCCTTTCTGCCACTGCTGCTCCAGATACTTGTCTGGTGGGTAATTTTTTGTTTCTGAGAAACAAAAGGGGAATTAGCCAGTTCTTCCTCACTAACAGGAAAGTTCTGTCTCTTCAGCGGTGCCACTGTAGTCTGGGTTGGCTCCTGGTTTTATAGGGCACCATGTGTAGTGACACACGGGGTCCCAGCTAGCTCTTTTCCTATCTACAATAGTGCCCAGCTGCCCCTAATGGCCTCTGGCCACATCTCAGCTGCCTCCAGCCCTCCTTCAGCCTCTTTCAGCCTGTGTGAGAGCTCCACAGCCGCTGACAGGTGGTGCTGACATGCAAGTGGATGTGGGAGAGACCACTTGGGAATTCAGTCTCAGCGGAAGAGTCCACTGGCCCCAAAGTCTGCTGGGACCTCAACAGAGGAGAGGGGCTGTTGCTGTGGCAGCTGGTGGACATGTGGGTCTGTGCTGTGCATCCCTTGGGAATGGAAGGGTCTGATGCAGTACAGGATATGCGGGGGTATGACTGCCTCTACCCCGTCACATCGCATATGATGCGTCAAGCCAGGGGCCTGTTTTGCTCTGTGTCTGGATTCAGAGAAGCCGCCTTGTCCTCTGCCCACATTTGCATTTTCTTTGTTCCCAAACCAAAAAGTGAATAAATATGAATGAAGGTAGCAAATGCCCCTGCTGCCTTTGTCCCTGGGACGGGCCTGTTTTCCCCACTGGCCCATGTCTTTTCTGTAATAGCTTATCCAAGCTCTTCTTTGCCATGGGAGAGGGTGGGTTGTGGCATGGCTTAGGGGATAGGGTGTTTGCCTGCAAAGGGCAGGGGTTCAAATCTCACTCCCCTCCCAGGATAAGGTAAGGGAGGCTCGTGGGATTCTTCCCACCAGATGCTGCTGCCCTCCCCCCATAGAAAGGGTCTGCCATAGGGGGAGCCTGTTCCCAATGGAAAAGATGCAGCAGGCAGTGCTGAAAACACTCTGCTGATGAGCGTAAGACAAGATACTATACCTGTTGTTACCATGGGTCATCTGGTCGTTGGTTAAGGAGCGCGCAGAGCGTCTTGAAGAATTCTCATGTGTCCAACTCCAGTTGCTAAGTTTGGGGTACGCCTCAATCAGGACCTGCAGTTGCAGATTTTCTCCCAACTTTATTTCCTGACTGCTGTTCTGCATGGGCAGCAGACGTACATAACCTCGCTCTGAGGGGCAAAAAGAGCAAAGCCAGTCAGTGGCCATGTGTGCGAAGGGTGGGATCCTCCACAGTCAGCCCTGGCAGAAGTGGTGCCCAGCTCCACTGATCTCAATAGCCCCCCACCTTGGGCATAGAGAAGCCTTTGCTGATCCTAGTTCCTCATGGGGCCCAGCTCAGCCTGGCCTGGGACAATGAAATTACTTTCTCTCCATGCAGAGCTGTCTCTTCCCAGTGTGCTTGCAGTTATTCTCAGAGGCTGGGGCATACTCAGATCACATTTTGTATTAAAGTGCCATTGATAAAGGGTTCATAGCTGGCTAATGAGTTGTTACAGATTGTTCAACTCTAGAAGGATAATTGGTTGCTTAGAACTATGGTTTATGATGCTCTTTCATACTGTCTGCTGGTGTTCTTATAACCATATGTGACATACACTTCTCGGCTGTGTCTACACTGGGCCACTTATTCCAGAAAATCAGCTGCTTTTCCGGAATAAGCTGCGAGCTGTCTACACTGGCCCTTGAATTTCCGGAAAAGCAACGATGTTGAACTGTACAAAATCAGCCGCTATTCCGGAAAAACTATTCTGCTCCCGCTCGGGCATAAGTCCTTATTCCGGAACGCTGTTCCGGAAAAGGACCAGTGTAGACAGCCCAGTAGTCTTTTCCGGAAAAAAGCCCCGATCGCGGAAATGACGATCGTGGCTCTTTTCCGGAAAAGCACGTCTACATTGGCCACGGATGCTTTTCCGGAAAAAGGGCTTTTCCGGAAAAGCAGCCTGCCAGTGTAGACGCTCTTTTTCTGGAAATACTTATAACGAAAACTATTCTGTTTTAAGCATTTCCGGAAATTCATGCCAGTGTAGATACAGCCCTCATGTCTGCACCAAGCATATAGCATCTATGCACCATCCAATGGGCTTAAATTGCAGCAAGGGAGGTGTAGGTTGGACATTAGGAATAACTTCCTGCCTGTCAGGGTGGTTAAATGCAGGAATAAGTTGCCTAGGGAGGTTGCGGAATCCCCATCACTGGAGAAATGTAAGAGCAAGTTGGATTGACATCTGTCAGGGATGATCTAGACGGTGCTTGGTCCTGCTGCGAGGGCAGGGGACTGGACTTGATGACCTCACAAGGTCCCTTCTAGTTCTATGATTCTAATTATAAGTAGAGCCTTAGACTAAAGTCTGACCCATCCATACCCGATATTGGAGAGAACACCTGGCGGGGTTATCGGATGAGGTGTTGGGAGAGTTGGGGAGGGGAGGAGCTGAACGCATTGCCTGGGTCAGCTAGACTAAAGAGTGATGCAAGCTGTCTTCCCACTGCACTCCCCAGGAGTTCCAGTCCATCCCCCTGGCCAAGGCGCTGCTCATCTGAGTCCTCCTTCCCCCAGCAGCACAAAACACCCCTGCTCTGGTCATCAGCTTGTTTGGACCCAGGAGCTTCAGAGTTAAAAGGATGAGCTGCTTCTTTTGGAGCTGCAGAAGTAGCTCTGTCAACTTGCATCTACAGTAGACTTTCATTCTCTGATGTGGCTCTGCCACTGGAAGGGGATACAGACCCACCTTCTCCTAGGATGGGCCACACAGTCAGCTGTTTTTGCTATGGCCTCTGGTGTCTGACTAATTTTTTTAGAGGCTGTTTATTTAACTCATCAAAAGAGAGAAGATCTTCCCTGGCTTTGCATCTGACAGGACCCGACTAACTGAATAGTGGCACCCGCCCCTTTCCCCTTAAATCAAAACACCTACACTCCCCTTTTCTATCCACTGCAGAGATCTGGAATTGACCCACACAGGGCTAATCAAGGTGTCTTCAAGGACAAACCAACACCCGGACAAGTTTGGGGTGTTAGATGCAAATGAATGAGGGGAACGAGACTGTGCGTGTCTCTTGGGGTGTGTGTGTGCATGCACACACATTTCCGGATCCCACTTTTCTTCCCCATTCAAGAATTGCTCACCTACAACCTCGAGCACAGCTGAAGAATTACGGGATCCCACAGGACTGTTTACTATACAAGTGTATTTCCCACTGTCTCCTATGGTCACTGCTGGAATGTATAGGATGGAGGAAACGTGGTAGTCCTCATTGTGATAGCTGATGCTCTTGGTGGTGTTGACCTGCAGCCATAGGGAAGCAATGTTAGAGTAATTTGTTAGGGAACAGAAATCAGCATTAGTAATTACTGTCCCCTTCATCTTGTTTTCTACTCGACTAGACTTTGTCTAAGAATTTATATGGATCAAATGCAGAAAAGTGGAGATAAGCAGATACAGTTAATTGAAGTATTCAGGGTAGATACTTGTAGCATAGGTAGCCATACAGATTTCTTTACAGTTTTTGTCAGCCCTTTGATTGTGAGCTATAGTTACATTGCATTATCTGAACAGACGGCTATATTTTGTTTGCTAATATCATCTCCCATGCTAAGAAATTAACGACTCTAAAATAGGGATGTTAAATTGCATTTAATCAGCTAATTGAGAAGGTGATGGAATTTTTAAGCCGGCTCCCCCCAGCACCAACTCCTGCTCCTGCCCTTGCTGCCTCTCTCTGATAGAGGCAGCAAGTGTGAAGGGGGGAGGTGACGAGTCGAGTGACTACTCAGCTACCCGATAAGCATATACTTATCGGGTAGTCGACTAGTCGCTTACATCTAAAACAGTAACTACTATTTTATCTAGTCTAGGTTTTTAATATGAACTCATCAAAGTGTTATCTAGGTGTTATCTTTCTATAGGGACCCCCGGAAGTGTTATCTTTCTATAGGGAAGGATGTGTGCTTTGAAGCCAGGCCTACACTGGGGAAGAAAGTCAAACTAAGATATGCAACTCCAGCGATGTGAATAGTATAACTGGAGTCGATGTACTTAGCTTGACTTACCACAGTGTCCCTTACTCCTCACAACCCTGTGGAGTACTAGGGTTGACAGGGCACATCAGTGGTTGACTTAGTGCAGTGGTCCCCAACCTTTTGGGGCTGCAGGGCGTCCGGGGGCGGGGCCGCTCACACGCCAGGCACCCGACGGCGGGGCCACACAGGCGCCCAGGGGCAGGGCCGTGCACGCGCCTGGGGGCAGAGCCACCCATACGCCGTGCACCTGGTGCCGGTGCCACCCATGTGCCACACTCCCGGGGCTGCTGCTGCTCCTATGCCGCACGCCTAGGGGTGGGGCTGCCCATATGCCATGTGCCTGGGGCCAGCACCGCTCCTGTGCCACACACCCGGGGCTGGCGCCGCCCCTGTGCCACGCGCCCGGGGGGGGGGCACCCCCCTGCCAC